ATATATATATATATGCAAAAATGAACAATAATTTCGCCTACCTTCATCACTGTCCAAAGTTCATCGCACGGTGACAATTATCCTGTTGTATTTCATTTTTCATGTTTTTTTAACAAAACAGAATGATTTGAAATTTGGAACATGTATTCATAAAACATAGCGAAAAAATATCAAAAAAAAAATTTACTTGAAATAAATTGACCAAAATACCCCCCAAAAGTTTCAGGGGTATTTTGGTCAAATTTTTTTCATGAATTATGTTTTATATATGTTTATTATGTACGCCTCACTAAGATGTACACACACTCTAAATTTCAGATCATTTCGATTCATAAAAAAGAATGAAAAATAAAATATTATCGAATAATTATGAGCATGCAATGAACTTTGGGCGGGAATAAGGGTAGGTGAAATCACTGTTTATTTTCGCCTATAGGTGTTAAAAAGACTTTTTCGTTATATATATATATATATATATCAAGGGTCCAGCGTTTTCCCCTAAGCAGCTCTCCTGGCCTTGGCGGGTACTTTACAATAGACTTCTTTCGTCTCTTGCCTTAACTCTCGGACCAACTTTCTTGGATATAAATTTACTTTGGTTTCTTCAGTAAAGATGTAACTTTTATCTCTTCTTTACACCTTATTGTTAAAGAACAGTATTACTGTTTGTTCCAGTTTAACTGTTTGCACAGTTCCACTGTTTGAACAGTTCTACTGTATGGCTCTGATACCAAAACGCCCAGGATCTATTTATTAATATTGTTAGAGTATAAGGTGGAGATTATGGATCTAGAGTAATTCTAGAGTAAATATGTAAATATGAGACTATTATATTTCATAAGTTCTTGCAGGATTCTATAATAATTTAAAATGAAAACTCATTAATAAATTTTCTCCCAATACAAAAGGTAAGAAAAAACTACCAGTATGTTATAAGTGTGGTAAAGTAGGACATTATAAACATCAATGTAAAGTAAAAAAGAAAATAGAGTCATTACATTTAGATGATACAATAAAAACAAAATTATACAATATTATCAACTATGATTCTACATCTTCAGATACTTCTTCCAATTCTTATATAGAAAATATAAAGGATGACGATCTGTCATGGACAGACTCATCTGATTCTTCTATGTCAACAGACTCGGAATCATCTACTCCAATAAAAGATAATGATTGTAGCTGTCCTATACCTTCCCATAATCTTCATACACTTACCCAAGAAGACAATTTCATCTTGGACATTATTGATAAAATTACTGATCCAAAAGAAAAAAGATCTGTCATTACTCAATTTATTTCTATAACAAAAACTAAGGCAAAAACACCTCCCATCAATAAATCTCTTGATGAATACAATTTTGCTTCAATAATGAAGAGAGTAAGTGAACAACATACGTCTCAACAAAAAGAACCTTCAATATCTGATTTGAAACAAGAAATTAAAGAAATTAAGAAAGAAGTATTTCAATTAAAAAATAGAATTAAACTTTTAGAATTACAACAAGCATCTCAACAAGATACAGACACAGATGAAATAGAATTTGACCAAATCATAATGGAGGAACCAGAAGAGATTCCAGAAACATCAGAAAAGAAACCTTATCTGGTAACTCTTCCTTCAGTTAATCTAATAGATAAAATACTAATTCAAAAATGGTTTGTACAAGTCAAAATTATAGTTGCAAAAGATTATAGTTTTGAAACTTCAGCTTTAATAGACTCAGGCGCTGACCTGAATTGTATCAATGAAGGTCTAGTACCTTCAAAATATTTTGATAAGACTACTCAAATACTAAATACTGCAGATGGAAGTAGATTGTTTATAAATTATAAATTATCGAATGCTTCTGTTTGTAATAATGACAAATGTATTGATACACCTTTTATTATGGTTAAGGGATTAAGCCAAACAGTTATACTTGGAGTCCCATTCCTTACCTTTTTATATCCCTTGACAATAGACCAGACAGGAATATCCTCTAGTTATCAAAATGTACCAATACACTTTGACTTTATACATAAACCCAAAATAAAAGAAATAAACAATATCAAAAGTCAATTACAAAATAAAGAAAAATTTCTTTGTACATTAAAACAAGAAATTCAATATAAATATATAGAAGAGCAAATACATCCTTTGATCCAACAAAAGATTCAATCAATACAAAAACAAATAGAAACTACTATATGTAGTGAACATCCTAATGCTTTTTGAGAAAGAAAAAAGCATAGTATAAGTCTACCCCATGAACAAGGTTTTGATGAAAAACAAATACCTACAAAAGCTAGACCAATACAAATGAATACTATCCTACTTGATATGTGCCGCAAAGAAATCGCAGATCTCCAACACAAAAAAGTAATACGATCAAGCTCCTCACCTTGGAGCTGTGCAGCCTTTTATGTAAATAAAAATGTTGAAAAAGAACGACGAGTTCCTCGCCTTGTTATCAATTATAAACCTCTTAATAAAGTCTTAAGATGGATCAGATATC